TTTTTCAAAATTGTTGATGTTTTGAAAAAGTCCCTGTTATAGTATGTATCCTAATTGCTTGTTGGATGGGCTGAAAATTTCCGCAACGAACATTTACTTTTAATTTGTCACTGGTCAGTTAACCTCTAGATGCTTCTGATAAACGTCCCCTGGAAAATCCCAATCGTGGTATCATACTTGCAAACACCACATTTGGACACAGTTTTAACTATTAAAATGCTATTTGAAAAATGTTTCATTGTATATGGTTTCATTTCAAAAGCATCTTTCTATCATTAATCCAGCGGGACTACATCTGGCTCACCAGCTGAGATAAGGATCGAGCCAACTTGCTAACTGATGACTTCATCACTATTTCAGATAACGCATTCAGCAATTATTTAAGTATTAGTAAGATGGCAGGAGAGATTGGCTTGCTTTTACTTTGGGTGATCTTACTATTGCCTTCAAATATTTTGCCTTTTGTCATGAGGAAGGGGAGTTAGTGTGTCTGTCTGGCCCTAGAGAGCAGAGCTTGGAGTTTGTGCGCGGAAGGAAGTGACACTCACCAAGAGCATGGAAAAACTGACCCATTAGTGGAGACGACAATAAGAGACCCCCACATGAACTCAGACAGTCACCCTGGCAGGGTTGTCTCTACCCCAGAATGGGCCTTTGAGAGCTTCCCTGGCCTTCCAAGGGAGGGTGACCACTTATCAGTGACGTCATTGTACTGGTGGTCTAGATCTATCTGGTTGGCAGTGGGCACCCTGACCCCAACTCTGCCCCATGTGAGAAGACAGCCAGGACACTGGTGGCAGCTGTCCACTCTCTCATGACTGGGAATCTGGGAAAGTATTTGTCTGTTTATTTTGGGCCAGCAAAGTCGCATCTTGTTTGTGTGTAGATGTTTAGCAACAGAGAGACTGGGAAGTCTAAATTTAATAAATACTAAAAATACTGTTGTTTCGATGCAAAATATGATCGGCATTTTCCCACCTGGTAGACTTGTGGGGACATGTATCCCAGGATCCCACAGCATGAAACTGGTGTGAGTTTTTTCATCTGGAATTTTTTCTGGTCTGGAGCCTGGCATTTCTTCCATGAGCCCAGTAAGCTCAGCTATCTCATCTATTTAAGGGCATGACACTTGGTCCCTAGAATTTCAAATATAGACAAAATTCCCTGGTTGATGTTCTCAGCAAATCCAAAAGAGTTAGCACTGCTTGACAAAAAAAGTCATAGCCGGCTGGACCTCCCTTGCAGCTCATGGCAGTCAGGGCCTCTCTTGCAGCTCAGGATCCCTCATGGCTCCCACTGAGGTCCTAGGAGCTAGGTGGGGGCTCAGACATGGTCCACATGCCCATGGAGACATCTGCCTACATCCAGTAAAGGAGGAAGGGAGAAGAGCCTTTGTTAATTTGATTCTACCTTGTCTGCTGTGCGAGCTCATTGCCATGTCAAAAGGCAACTTAAAGGAAGGGTAATTTGGACTCACAGTTCAGGGTTTCGTTCGTCATTGTAGGGAAGGCACGGCAGTAGGGGCTTGAGACAGCCGATACCATTGCTTCTAGAGCCAGGAAGCAGAGGGAGATGAATATTGGTACCCAACTGCTTTTCTCCTTTTAGTTCAGTCCACCCCCTCTACACATACACATCAGTAATGGGATGGTGCTATCTAAAGTTACAGACACACCCGGAGATGGTGTCTACAAGGAGAGTCTAGGTCAACAGTCAATATCAACTGTCACAACCCCTACTTGAATGGTCTACACTAGAGGTGAAGGGAATGAAGTGTAGATGGGGTGGGGGTGAAGGACCTGATCCCCAGGTCCATTTGACCTGCAAGTAGGTTGCTTTGTTATTATTATTTATGATCAACATCCACACGGTGGCCAAGTAGACTCAACTCTCTGGCTTCCTCGGGCAGGTGAGGCCTTTTGGGCCTCCATTTCCCCTTTCCCCACCTGTAACCACGGAATGATAAACAGAGGCAATCACTATGAGAAATGAATGTCCATGCTTCTCCTGCACACTCACACACACACGTGCAGTGTTGCTGCTTGTTTCAATTCAGACTTACCCAGGATACAGGACGGCTGCTGGGTAGGTGGCAAACACTCTTCTCAAGGCCTACCCATTAAGAGTGCCCCTAGGCAGCTACATGAGAAGACACCTGTGGTGTCAGTCAGCTTCCTGCCACTGTGGCAAATTCCCTGAGACAACCAACCTGAAAGAAAAGTTTATTCGGTTTATGGTTTTTCACTCGGCCTCTTGCTTTTGGACTCGTAGCCAGTCATCAGTCAGGTGGGAATACTTGGTGGAGTAAGCAACCAGGATGTGAAGGGAGAGGGGGGGACTGGGGGTAGCGGGGTCCCAATACCTCTTCAAGGACTCTTCTCCATTGATCTAACCTCTTCCCACTAGAACATACCTTTTTTTTTTTTGAGACAGGGTTTCTCTGTATTGCTTTGGAGGCTGTCCTGGAACTTGCTCTATAGACCAGGCTGGACTGGAACTCACAGAGATCCGCCTGCCTCTACCTCCTGAGTGCTGGGATTAAAGGCAGCTATACGGAGCATCAGGGAGCAGCTGTGTGGAGCATTAGAGAGCAGCTGTGTGGAGCATCAGAGAGCAGCACTATGGGGCACCAGAGAACAGTGGTGTAGAGTATCAGAGAACAGCAGAGACTCCCAACCTATGCTTTCCTGCATTTTTATCTCATTTCTTTGCACTTTAATATCAGAGGAAATAGGGTCTGAGGCCAGACCACAAATGGCATTTTGCAATTGTTTTCCTGTTGGAAGCGTTTACATGCTATAGTGATGGATGGGAGGAAGGGCAGACTGCAGGGCAAGGGCAGACTGCAGGGCAAGGCTCTGTGTTCACCACAACCAGAGGGAACTTCAGAACCACAGCACTCACACCCAGGAGGAAGGACTGCCCAGGTTACGTATTTCTCTTCCCTAGGCTTTGTCCTTATCTCCTCAGTGACCCTGGAAGTTACATTTCTGTTCACATTCATCAGGACACATCAAGCCTGAGAGGAAGCCTGACTCTGTAGCACACGAGGCTGACTGACTCTCTTGTTGCTCCAGACAGTTTGTCCTGGTCCCGTATCTCTCGTGCCAGACCCACACCCACCTTCATCTGAGTTCCATTCCCGCTCTGGCTTTGTGCCCTGTTTCCCTTCCTCTGCACTTGGGTGTTTGCGTCTGACCTCTTGGCAAGGTCAGTGGCTGGAACCTGCACAGCCCTCTTTCAGGGCTGCTGGTGAAGTCAGGCGGGACGGCCTGGTTAATTTAAATTGAGCTTGCGGGAAACCTTGACTGGAGGTCTCTCCTGGCTAGCTGAAATTCTGATTCACCTGGGTAGCCTGGATTCCTATCGGCTGACTCTGTCTCGTTCTCGTTCTGGGTTCAGCAAGAATACGTACCTGTACCTGGACACAGCTTTCCAGGCACTGAATTCCCAGGAACGAACTTCACTGTAAGATACACCTGCTGTATCAACCTGCCAAAGCGGAGGCTGGTCCCTGTCTACCTCCACCTCAGCATGGATAGGCCTGGCTCTGGCCCAGTCACTGTCACACGCTCATCAGAAATGACAGGGCTCCAGGTGGACACAAGCCTGCGGTGGCTGTGTGTCTAGAAGTTCAGTTTCCAATCAGGAGCAGAGACTTTGCATGCCGTTGTTTTGCAGAGTTGCTGGGAAGAGTTTTCATCTCCTAGACAGCGGCTTTCCTCAGGGGTAGGATGCTCCCACAGAGCTGTGCAGAGTGAGAGTCTGAGGGCAGAAGAAGAAAGAAGTCTGGCTCATTCCCTGCCTGACCTCTGAAGGCTGCAGAATGCAGAAATGGTGGAGAGAAAAAAACCAGTGTTTGCTGAAGGCCAGCTCTGGGACCATGGGCATGCACGTTATGCTGGGGCACCAGATGGATGTCAGTGCCGCTGAGCATCCATGCCTGGGTCTGTCCTGCAGGTGAGAAGGAGGGCAGCGTCTGGAAGTGCAAATGATAGGGGGTACACAACAGTGATGTGACACTGTTAGCACCCCACCATCAGTCTGGCAGGTGGACTTCCGAGAGCACGTTTCACCCTTGACTTATGCTTAGGCCAGCATGTGAAATGCAGGTCTGGGCCAGGCACATGGAAGCAGGCTAGACCTGGACATTGGGTGTGCTGGAGTCACATAAGTTTTCCTGATAGCCACTGAGAGTATGCTCACACAATCCACAGCTGTGGGCCTCTAACAGGTGACCTTATTCCTATTGGAAGGGACAGTGGGGACCTGGCACGGGAAAGAAGTCAACACTGGAGACAAGGGAGCATCAGGGTTTGTCACAGTTCCTTCCCAGGGCTGACCACCTAGCATGAGCACTCCTGAAGTTTAGGGGAACTGGCAGCCTTTGGTTTTTAAAATCTCAACAAACTGATCTGCATGACTCCGAACTCATGATGTTTCTTCTTCCACTGAGATAACAGATGTTACTCTAGGCCCATGACCGTGCTGAACAACTGAGGATGAATTCAGAGAAACATCCCTCCTGTGGTTATTTTGCAGCCTGAAATAAAAAGACAAATGACAGCAACAATCAGGCCTGGGGACTTGCTGACAGGCAGGTCTGAAAGAAGCAGGTTTGCTGTTTGCCTGCTTCCAGTCATCTGTCCCTGAAGTCAGCTGGAGCTAACAGAATGTCATTGTCACCGTTTTAGCGCTATGCAAGACAGCCCCATCCCAAAATACCCATCCATGGGACAGAATAGTCCTAGAGGACACACCCCGTGGCTGAAGCAGGATGTGTGCTGGGGGTGGTGCCCACGGCCTGGAAACCAGAGAATGAAATGGAAAGGTCAACTCCAGGGAGGTCTGCCATCTCCATGGTGACATCTCAAGTGACACAGAGGTCACGGAAGGTTGCACTTAAGAGCCACAAAGCAGGGCTGCCAGAGGCTCTGGAAGAAGGTCAAAGGAGGTAACTGAGCAGGAAAATCAGCCGGGGCACAGTCTGGGAAGGGACAGCAGCCAAATGAGCGGAGACCAACCTTTCCCTCCTTTTCCATGGGAATCTGTGCTTGGGAATTTGTTTCCCCATGACATCTTCGCTCTGGAGGGCCTGCTACCCAGACCCGTAGGCCCAAATGCAGGCATGACCCTTTGTCACAGTTCTGTTTGAAAGTAGCCCGGTCGCTTCCAGTTGGCGACTTCCCTCGGGTCTTTTGTGGCATCCACAATAGCCACGCCCACAGCCGTGTTTCAAAGGAAAGGGGCCAAGCTGATGTCAGCAGAAGGTGTCTTTGCCATACTTCTTGGTGAGTAGGTAACCGAGCCCTCAGGCTGCAGCTATGAGCTGTGGTTGCTGTTTCCTTCCCGGTGGGCTGCATGTGTTGAGGTGGAACCTAGTGGAGGAGAGTGAGGTCATGGAAACAAACATTAGCTCAGGTCTCATGGGCCTGAACTAGTTCCCACTATCGTGTTGCCATCTACCACAGGGCTCTCAATGGAACAGAGCAGACATGAGCTCTTGAGACGGCACAACAAGACATCATTACTTAATATTTTCTGCACTGACTGACTGATCCATTGATTGTGTGTGTATAGGCACTCATGCCCAGAGAGGTGGAGTCACACCATCAGGTGGGTTCTGGGGACTGAACTCAGGTGGCTAGGTGTGACAGCAAGTACTTTAATGGCTGAGGCATCTCGCTGGTCCTATTATTATGTTTTAAGATTTATTTTATTTTTTACATATGTGTTTGAGTGTGTGTTGTTTGTGTATATGCTTGTGTTCACGGAGGCTGAAGTAGGGCATTGGATCCCTTGGAGCTGGAGTCACAAGGGTTTGGGAGCCTCCTGATGTGGGTGCTAGAATCTGAATTCTGGTCCTCGAAAGAGCAGGAAGTTCTCTATTACTATGAAGAGACACCAAGACCACAGCAAGTCTTATATAAAGAAAGCATTTGTCTGGGGCTGATTTGAAGTCTCAGGGGTTCAGTCCATTATCATCTGCTGTAGAATATTAGTTAAAGATGTATTACATTTTTGATGCTATGGAACATTTGTTTAATGATACAAAGATGTGTTGGATTATTTTATGTTGCATTTGTTTAACTCTGTGAAGCTGTGTTACTTTGCCTGTCTAAAACACCTGACTGGTTTAATAAAGAGCTGAATGGTCAATAGCAAGGCAGGAGAAAGGATAGGTGGGGCTGTCCGGCAGAGAGAATAAATAGAAGGAGAAATAGAGAGGAAAAAGGAGGACCTAGGAACGGGAGAAGGATAGGGACTCCAAGGGCCATCCACCCAGTCACACAGCCAGACACAGAATAAGAAGCAAAGAAAGATATGCAGAAATAGAGAAAGCTAAAAGCCCAGAGGCAACATGGGATAATTTAAGTTAAAAAAAGCTGGCTAGAAACAAGCCAAGCTAAGGCCAAAGGTAAACTTCCAAGAAACCAAGCCCTCTCTGCTATTTGGGTTGCACTCCGTGATGCTGTTGAAGTGCGGGAATACAAGACTGACATTTCAGGTGACCTCTTCCCCTCTCTTTTCCCAGGGCGAACCAGGACCTCTGGAGATCAGAAGCTTTCAGGCTAATGGAGGAGATACAGGACAGATACAGATGCTCTCAGGCACACGCTGCTCTGGTTCCTCGGGGTGGGGTAGGTAGACCCTCAGTTAAGTTTAGCCTCTCCAGAGCAGACCGCAGACTGATGATTTTGTTTTCTAGATTCTGTGCTGATGCCCAACTACCCCAAGGTCCACATCACAGGGGGATAAGAGGTGAGGCTGGGGCTCGGAGCATAGATCCCAGCATCTAGAAGAAATGGTTCTTGAAGGCACAACTGCCCAAAAGGTAAGTGCTGTGGGAGCTACAATGGCTCAGGCTGCTGCACACTTTTCCAACACCTTGGTCAGTTAGCATCGCTCCAAGGGCCGTAGCTTGGGGTGGGTATTGCCTCGCCTCCTCTGAGCACTGCCCCCTCTCTCTGCTATTTGGTTAGTCTACTTTTAGTCCTGCTGGTTCCAGCTGCAGGGTAGGACATTTGTTATCGTTTTTAATTGAGACTGGGTCTCACTATTGTAGCCTTGGCTGGCCCAGAGCTTGCTGTGTAGACAAGGCTGACCCTAAACTCTGAGGTTTACGGGCTTCTGCCTCCTGAGTGCTGAGATTAAAGGTGTGCACCACCATATATGCTGGAATTAAAGGTATGTATTACCACCGCCTGCTAAAAAGGCAAATTTTTGAAGGATCCCACTGAGAGACAATAGGATTTTAGTCCACACTGGAAAATGCCTACAGGAAAAGAACAGAATCCAAAAGCAGCTGCCAGAGCACAGGAAACCAACTCTGCAGACTTATAGGCCAGCTGGAGATGCAGGGGACAGGCTTGCCACAGACAGATCAGGAGTACACAGGCATCAGGCTGAACACTTACCTGCCCTCTCTCTCCCCCCATCCCTTTCTATCTCTTTCTCCCTCTGTGGCTGGGCTTACTCCTTGTGAGGTCTCTTGTGAGTTTAAGCTGGAGAAAGATGGGACCCAGCCCCCACCCCATTTTTTTCCATACATGACACAAGTCGAGCACACACAAACCCAAGTCTGCAATTAGCTGTCCCCTAGGGTCTCTCGCCACGCTCCTGGGAACAAAGTTTCTACATCCTCCCTTGCTGATCCTCAGACTACACTGGGAACTTCTGAGTAGCTTCTGAAGCTCAAATTGCAGCTTCCCCAGGCTGCCCTGCTGTGCGCTGAAGGGAAAACAGGGAGGGACCACCTCAAAGCCCACTTCAGTATAGTAAAAGGCTAGCCTAAAAGCAGGGCAGATCTGTGGCACAGCCAGCGAGCTGGCTCCACAGAGCTCGGCACAGCCTGCGCATCTGCTCTAAATCAGGGGCTGAGCATCCCCAACCCCAGTGATCACAGAGTCGCTGTCCCCCAAGGCAGTCAGAGACAGCGTGTAGATACATGAGCATCGCTGAGTTCCCCAAATATTTACACAAACAAGTGACAGTGGAATTTGGCCTGTGGATAATAGTTTATGAACCCCTGTTCTAATTTGTGAAGCAAGAATCAAGAAGGTGTCTAGCATGAAGGAATGTTGAGAAAAGTTAAAACACCCCAGGGTTGAGTAGAAAAACTGGCAGATGGTAGTGTGATTGATGCCTGTCTTTAACAGGGTGTTTCTGAAAGCTGCGCCAGCTGTTCCAGATGAGTTCTATGTTGATGTGGCTGCAGAACTTGGGACCTCCCTTTGTCTACCTGGGCCAATGTATTTTTACAATGAGATGATGGCCTGAATGAGTGTTGGGTCACCCGAGTCAGATGCATTTAAAGAGTCCCCAAACGCCTTGTTATATCCTTACATCCACATACATGGTTATATTGGGGGTGAAGGGGGAAGGGAGCAAAGCCCATAGGTCCTGCAATGAGCTCTGCGTTGTCTGTCTGTGCTCATCTTTCCAACTGGACGACCCATTGTCTTCTCGTCTCATCTACATCTCTCCTCACTGGTATGTCTGTCTGCCGTTCTGCCATGCACACCCAGCAGGGTTCCCTGTCACTTGATGTCTCTCCCCACAAGCAATCGCCTGACAAAAAGAAGCATTCAGCTCCCAGTTCCATCCTGCTGGGGTTCTAGCCACTATGGTGGGAGCACGTTGTATTTCCACCAATCAGGAAGCAGAACATCAGAGTCTACTAAATATGGCTAGTCTACATGACTCCATGCCAGTCCTCAGCAACCTACTTCTGCCAGTACACCACACCTCTCTAGGGTTCCATGATTTTCCCAGACACCACCGCCAGCTGGGAACCTTCACTTTCCAACCATAGCAGCGGTTCTCAACCGCTACACCAGTGGTTCTCAACCTCCCTAATGCTGTGGCCTTTTAATACAGTTCCTCATGTTGTGGTGACCCCCGACCATAAAACTATTTTGGTTGCTACTTCATAACTAATTTTGCTACTGTTATAATCACAATATAAACATCCGATGCACCACCCCATGGGGAGCGACCCACAGATTGAGAACCACTGCTCTTTAACCTTCTACAGTCTTTGATTCACCAGTCCCCAGAGGGAGGGTGTGTGCCATAACCCAGCTGGCTGTCCCTGCTGAGCACTGGAGTGAAGGCAAAAGGAGGTTGCAGGTGGTGTTTTCCCAAATTTTGTAAGTCATGTTGTTTTAGTTTTCCATTGCTGTGTGCCAATCACTGTTAAACATCTTTGCCTACAGTGTCTGTGTATAGGGAAGTCCTGAGACACTTAGCCAGAAGGCTCTGGCCTGAGTCTGAAGGCAAGATGTCGGCGTCTGAAGACTTGAATGGGTTGCCTCTACCACAGGGCTCTTGGCAGGCAGTGTGCTCATGGTGGCTGCTTTCTGGGGACCCCAGCTCCTTAGCATTGGATCATTCCAGCCAGCTGCCTAAGCCACTTTGTGCTGTCAGCTGGATTCCCCCAGAGAGGACTCAAGAAAAAGTAAGGAACACAGTGGGTGCCTTGGGTTGCCTGTCCTTGGGAGCCAAATGTCTCAACTCTGCTAAATTCTATTCAGGAGTAGGAAGAGTCACAATGCACAGCCCGCATTCAGGAGGAGGGAGACGAAGCCAGTTCTTGAAGGAAATGTGTCCAGGAATCAATGGTCCTGTTTTAAGACCACCACTCACCCATGCCCTGGCTTTGCAACCAGCATACTGATGTATGAAGCTGTGTATGTTAGGAATCCACTGTGCCCCCTTACTGTCGTGATCACAAATGCCACTGTTCTTCCCCAAGCTTCAGTTTTAGCTGTAGAAAATGAAGGGTCTGGGCATTGTATCACACATCTCTAACCTCAGCACTTGGCAATGGAGACAGGAGGATTAGGAGTTCAAGGTCAGCTTCTGATACATAGTGAACTTGCCTGGAAAAGAAGCAGCAAAAAAGAGCTGTGGGCAAGAGCAGCAGCAGCAGGAGGAACTGGGAGAGGAGGAGAAACAGAAAAGGAGAAAGAAGGGAGGACAGGAGATGGAGGATAAGTGAGACGAGGGACAGGAGGGGGAAGGAACGAGAGGAGAAGGAGAGGGAGGAAGGGAAGAGGCAGGAGAGGACGATGAGCAGGAGGAGGAGGGGAAGGAGGAGGGGAAGGAGGAGGGAGAAGGAATGGAAAGGGTGGGAATGTGGCTGCAGTACAGTGCCAGCACTAAAGGGTCTAATCTGCAGGTGCAGCCAATCGTGGGTGGAGCAATTGCATCCAGGGCAGAGGTCCTGAATCCTCACCAAACATGTGCAGATGCTGTTCTTGGTGTTTTCTAAAGAAGCCAGTGTAGCGATGACGTACAGGTGTTAGATATTTGGAATTGTCTGCAGATGATCTGATGTGCACAAGAGGGTTATATGTTGATGGGGTCTATTGGGGGACCCTGGCACCAACCTCCCTGGATGCCCAGGGATTGCTGTACACTATCTAAGGCTTCTACCAAAGGACATGTGATGGACTTTGGGGGTTTGACTGTATCTCCAGTCACTGAGTTTCCTCACTGGCATGAACCTCCTAGTCTTTCGGTGCTACGAGAGGCTGACAGCATGGCTGTGGTGCATCCGAACACCCTTTGCCTTTGTTGTCAGCACAAGGAGCTAGCAACTTCTGCTATTCTCCATACAGCCCTCACTCCCACAGTCATTCTGCCCTCTGCAGGACCCAAGGGAGGTGGGCTATAGTGACTGCAGGGACTCAGGCCTCTCTCTGGGAGGTCTTCCCACACGAACACTTCATCTATCGTCACTTTGGATTCTCCCAACTCAAGGGTCACCAACAATTGTCCAAGGGGCATTGTGGGTTGGCAGAGGATATGCCCAAATATTCAGAACCCTGATTTTCAGATACATCAAAGCTTCCTGCAGACACACATTCCTTGTGCCATTATTAAAGCCAGAAAGATGTTTCCATTGCTTCAAATTCTTGCTGAAACAAATCACTGCCCGATGCAGTAAGAGCATCTGCCTGGCACAAACCTGTTTACAGAGTCACAGAAGGAGGAGGGGCAGTGAGCAGAAAGCCCAGGCACATTACACGGAGAGCATCATGTGCTGTGAGCTGCAGGCGCGTGGGAGCAATTAACATTCTTCTCTGAGCAGGAGGCAGCCCTGTGGTGGGTACCCCTTGGCGCCTGGCAGCCATGAGTCAGGTTCCCCCAAGTGTCTGCAGCCTATTTCCTGGTGACTGTGTCCTGCACCAACCATCCACCAGCCGAGTCTGTGAATCTGGTTATTGGCCTCTGCTACCTGAAGATGGTGTGGACATGGCATTAGTGGTCCATTCTGGGTCCTCTGTGATTTCTAAACTTGGATGCTTGACCCAGAGTCCTGTGCACACTGCCTAGTCCTGATTTCCTGAACACCTCCTGGGTCCTGAGTTTTACAGAAGGAAGTCAACATGCAAGCAGGAACCTGCGACCCTTGAGAAGCTCCTTAAAGAGCTGGTAAAATTATCTCAAAGAAAGGTGAAGCAGGGAGTGAGGGGTCATGCTAAATACATTGAGGACAAGGGGTGAGGTCTCTTTCCAAGTTTACTAGTAGTGATAACTCAGTACTGCCTGAGAGATTTGCCCAAATATTTAAAGCTTCAACATCAATCACTTGTTTCTATAACATGATGAAAGGACTTGCTTCCTTGTCCAAGGGACAGCTTCTGCTATAACACCACAGAGAAAGACCCCAGGCTCTGGCCCCTCAAAGGTTTCAAAAGAGACAGCCACATTCTTAATGAGGGAACCCCTATACCTATGTTCTTCAGATGGGTGTCTAGACCTGGCCTGACCTCCAAACTAGAACTTGGCAGAGCCTAGAACCCTGTCAAGCCGTGGTCCAGGTAGGGTCTGAGCCCCAGTTTTGTCCAGTCACGTTCATTAGGAAAGGCACGATGGGCAGTGTGACCATTCTTGTTACATTGACTATCTAGCCATATTATTGGAAGTTAACGTGACCTGTCTAAGGGAAGCCAAGAAGCTGGCCAAACTTTATTTCTAAATGTGTATGAGGAGCTGTCTTAGGGAAAGAGTGACCCTGGAAATCAATGGACTAAAAACCATGTCTGTCCTTACCAGTGTGAGATGGCTCCACCCAATCCTGCGTGGGATAGAATCTCAAGAAGGGTGTGGTGGCTAGTGTCAATTGTCAACCTAGAATCATCTAGAAAAAAGGTCTCTGGGCATACATGTGGGGGATTATCTTGATTGTACTAACTGGGGTGGGAAGACCCGCCCACTGTGGATGGTACCATTCCTTACTTGGCTCTTGGACTACACAAGGGAAAGGGAACAGAGCAGCATCGTGCTCCCATTACTCCTGATGATGCAATGTGACCAGCTTCAAACATGGCTTCCCACCGTGGTAGACTCAACCCTTGACCTGTGGGTCAGAATATACTCTTCCACCTGGAGTTGCCTTTGACGTGATAATTCATCATAGCACCAGGGAAGGGAACTGAGACAGAGGATGAGTGTCCCATGCATTCATCTGCTCTTGGACATCTGATGAGTGTCCCATGCATTCATCTGCTCTTGGACATCTGAGCTCTGGATATGACCTTTGAACTCCCAAACTGACCCCACAAGTCATCTACATCTCAAGCTTTCAAACTCAGACTGGATAAATGACCCCCTAGTTTTTCTGTGTTCACTGCTTGCTGACAGTAAATCATGGGACACTTCCCTGCCCAGTCAATTCCTGTACAGAATCCCCTTTCGGGTACTGATGCATTTCCTTTGGCTCTGTTCCACAGAAACCGTGGCTGACTTGGACATTTGATGTCACTCCCTTCAGGAGAACCATCCCTTGCTAGCCTCTTCCTATCTTTCCTGTTCTCATTACAGACTGCTCAAGCTGACCAGATTCTGAGTAAGACAGGAAGCATTTAGGATAATGTCTGGATCCTCTGACTAGCAAGGATTCCTCCTTCAACAAGTGAATAATTGACCTTACCCCTTTGGTCTCCCACAAACTTTCATGTTTCCCTTTGCAGAGCCTGACTCTGTGTCCTCCATCTTGCTTGTCCAGATCCAAATATTGATTATTCTTAGGTTTTGTTCACAAATCACATCAATACACCTTCGCATGGTCAGCTCACAGCTCTCTGTGGGGTCTTGTAACATACAGTGATAGCAGCCACCACCCATGACCCTTTCATTGTGTATCACATATCACACCCCAGCTTGCACTATGATTTTATGTGCTCCCTCCTTTAAACTTCCCAACAGCCCTTGAGGTAGCTGTTTGGCTGGTTTCTGCTTTTCAAGGAATGTTATGCGTTGGTCCTTGCTTGATCACCTCTTCTCTACCCTGACTGTTGGCCTCACACACTTGTCATGTTCTCTTACTTGACTCCTGTAGAAGTCCCATGAGACTTGGCCACTTCACAGCTGGGCCAAAGACCACAATAAGCGTGAGAGCTGAAGAACCCACCCAAGGCAATACACCTCCTTAGCTACCCAAGTTCCTCGTGGGGTTCTCTCTCTAAAGGGTTGTGTTCTAACGAGCTCTCTGAGGTGGCCCCGCTACCCTTCATGAAGGGTTCCACCTGCATAGAACATCAAGTCAGTTCCTCTGGCAGTACTTTATAGCAGTGCAGTGACCCCAGCCCAACTTACCCTGGGGGACCAGTGTTGAGGTATAGACTTCAGCAGAAGACTCCTCCCACTTTGTGAGGAGGGGGTTGGCTGACAGCTGACACAGAAACCCTGAACAATGAGTGTATTTGAAATGGAGATTAAGCTCAATCCACAGGAGGGTTGGTGGGAGGGGCTGTCAGAGTGGCACTAGGGACATCTGACATAATCACAACCTTATGTCCTGTGAGATGGGAATAGTTTCCCCCCTTCTACACAAGGACCCTGGAAACTTCTTTAGTGAATCAACTTCAAACCCTGATTAAGTTAAACTCAATGTGTCAGCGTCAGAAAGAGTGAAAATCTGCCTCCCAGCGTCATGTGGCTCCCAGCATTCCTGGCCATTAACCATATTATATTGACAAAAGATACTGTACGTAGAAAAAGAAAATTCAGAGTCCCTTGGGTGAAACTAAATCCCCTAAAGACCATGGTGTTCATTCCTCTTACAGCTTTCTAGGTGGACTCGAAACCTAATCTCACACTGACTGAACCGTTGAAAAACAAGCCACTATTAAGGAAGATGCGTCATTTACAGGCATTTGGTCTTAATTTTAACTACTGAGCTTAACGATGCTGAAGCAGCTCTGCCCACCTTCTGCACAAGGACTCATTCCCAGCATCGTTTTCAACACTCGCTAATAAGAGCTGGGATTTGTGTCACATAAAATGCCCCCTGCTCGTGCAATTGGACTTTGAAATGAACATCGACTGTGTTGACTTCAGCCTCCAGGCCCGTGACTGCTTTGTACACCTCCAGCTTCCCAAGCATTTCTTTGTCAACTGGCATAGGATAATGGGCACCCAGAGTGGGCAGGGAATGGCTCCATTTTTTTTACCTCATTATTCAAATTAGTGTGGAATGGTACCGCTCCAACTTCATTTTACAACCAGCATCAGGGAAACACTGGTTCTCTCTGGATACTCTTCCTCCTTCCAAATTGTAGCCTCTGTGTGAACGACTCCTCCTTAGGACAGGAAACTACTGCTGAAGAAGACAAAGGCAGTCCCAGTGAGCGACTGCACCTAGACTCCAAACAAAATGCTTGATAATGACATCACCATCCAAAGGTCCTTGGGAAACCAAGAATCATGACCTGGGATTGCCAGAATAAGCGTTTAAACCTCGAGGGTGAAAGCCGATTCGCTCTTGCTTTCTGAGGGGTCTGAGGGAACCTGAGCAGGCCTCTCATGTGTGGGGACAAGCATTCAGTGGGCTTTCAAAGGACCCTTCCCCCTCCCAGGAAGGCCCAAACCCTGGCAGAGGCTTTTATTTCCATGTCTTAGATGATTTACCAAGTGCCAGCTGCTTTTCCTAAATGAGGCCCAGCTGGAAACACACCCCCATGGTTTCTGAGGTGCCTGTGTCTCTTGTTCTGTCTGCCCCGCCCCACAAAGCAGGATTCTGCTCCCCAAAGCAGAACTCTCTCTGTTTCTTAGACACAGCCGGCCTGAAATCTGAGGTGCCCCTCACCTGCCTCTTTCAGTTGTCTCTGTGTGCCTTCTCATGACGTACCTCCCTTCATTTGGGACTTTCAGCTCTGCTGGCTCTCTGAACACTGTTGCTATATCCCTGGGATAAAGAATGAGGCTCTGTACATGAACCCCATACAGGTTTGGGCAGGAGAGCTCTGACCTAGCGCTATCAAAACCACCACAGCAAAGGAGAGCCAGCTTTCCTCTGCTGTGGTGCAAAGAATGGGAAATGCTCCCTGGCAGAGCAAAGCTTACCACACTATGACCACACTCTAACTTGCCTGACTTGCAGATAACAGCAATCTTACTTGTGAAAATAATATATGCAGACAGTTAGATGTTTCCCCTTAATTAGTGGCTTGAAGTTTGAAGACAGGCGGTATATTCTTCTGTAGTAATCAGTACAGGGACCTCTATTTTAGCCATAAATATCATGTTACTGGACACTCCTCTACTACCCAAGCCATTAAGAGCTAATGCCTAGATTACCGCTGTCACGACAGCAGGAACTTTCTCTTCCTCCACCTCTGTGTAGGGTTTTTACACTCCGGCAGACATGCTTAGTCAACACTAACGCTAGACACTAACACTAAGAGCCTAGACATGCTACTTCTTATATGCTCGAGGAGAACATGAATCCAGTTACATTGCCTGGGTACCACCTTAGATTATTATCTCATTCTGGGGTCATTTCTAAGTTCATGACTTGTTCAGTCATTACCAGGTCTCTCAGAGACCCTTTACAGCTATAGTAGACAAACAGATAGACCATTGTTTTGATTGCTAAGCAATAGGTCATCCTTTCTGAAGTTCATTGAAAAGTAGAGTCCTGTCCAAGACAGACTAGAGTCCACACCTGTGTGTCATCCACACTCCATCCCTCAGGCTGTGTAGGGCCTTGGACAGCCATGTAGGTGTCTGTGTCAATGTGCTATATTTATGTGTATGTTTGTTCACATGACTACATATGTACATGGGCATGTGTGTGTGAGGAGGTCAGTGGTCAACCTCAAGTGTCACTCCTCAGCAACCCTCTACCTTGTTATCTTAAGACAGGGTCTCATAATGAATTCTCGACTGTCCTGGAAATTACTCTGTAGACCAGGCTACCTCCAAAGTCACAGCAATCTGCTTGTCTCTGCTTCAAGAGTGCTTGAATTAAAGGTGTGTGCCACCATGCCTGTGTCCAGCTTTTTATGTGAGCACTGGGAAGCCAATGTCAAGTCTTTATGCTTATGTTACAAGCATATGATTCAGCCATCTCCCCAGCTCTGCCATGCTAGATCTTGATGTCACTTGGGTTGGGATACTGTTTTATGCCTTTGAAGCTCTCCTCAAGTCCAGTCAAGTACCAACAAAGCTTTGTAAGGTACAAGTGAGTGTCTGTGGAGACATACAAGCCCTGTTAAGCAAGACAAGTGAATAGCCCCAGTGTTGGGATATCAACGGATATAACAGCAGCCCCCAGGCCTTCCCAGCTTCCAGTAGAAGACCTCAGGGGATTTTGATGGAATCTTTAAAGTCTGGTTAAATATCCAAGAACTTTGAACCCTAGTCTCTAATAATTAATGTCTAAAGCATGACCCAAGTGCCAGAGGCTGACATATAGTTTTCAGTCTCTGCTCCCTGAAGAGTGAAAAAACAATACTTTACAACTGTCCCGGGCTGCTCTTTTCTCCAAGCTGGGTGCTTCGCGTCCTTGACTCATTCAACAAAGCAAAACACAGTTGCCCCATTTGTCTTGTTTTCTAAACATTTGTCCATTTTGTTAGCCTCCCTCTGAACCAACTTTTTCCCAGTGACCTTCATTTTGGAGGCCAGAACAGGACATGGTTTATGATAACCAAATTGCTGCCAAATATCATTAAGATGGTCATTATGTTAACACATGGTGGTGCTTTAGCCTTCTTTCCAGAATACACTTCCACTCCTGACTCAGGCTTCTCTACTGCTTGGTCTCTTCCACACATGTGAGTGTTTGACTTGTTCATCCCCGGACCCTGGTGTGTGTGTGTGTGTGTGCGTGTGTGTGTGTGTGTTGTATACACATTCACAGAGACCAGAGGAGGACATTGGTGCCCTGATCTATCATTTTCTATCTTATTCCCCTCAGACAGGGTCTCTCACTGAACCTGGATCTTGGCTTGCAGCAGCAAGCCTCAAGTCTCCAATCCCATAATGCTGGTGTTACAGGCACAAGTGCAGCCGTGCCTAACTTTCCACAGGCATCTTGGGAATCTGAGCTCAGATCCTCATGTTTGCATAGCAGCACTATCTCCCACTAAGTCATCTCCCCAGGCATTACCTGAATTTTTTAATGACCCCTTCTATTGAAAACAAAACATGATGCAAAATAAAACCCTTTCCTATTAATCTGGAGCCAGATCTCTGTGCAAAATGGCAGTTTAAAATTAGTTACTATGACTATTACATAAAATTTTGAATGAGACCCCCTGAATGTGGGTGTCAGTGAGGAGGCCTAGGCAATCTATGGGGCCTTTGGTAGTAGATCAGTGTTTATTCCTGGCATATAAATGGACTTTGGGTGTCCATCCCACAATGAGGGATGCTCTCTCAACCTGGACTCTTGCGGGAGGGCCTAGGCCCTGCCCTGAATGAAACGACAGACTCTGGAGATACCCTATGGAGGGCCTCACCCTCCCTGGGGATCCGAGTAGGGAATTGTGTGGGGGCTGGGAAGTGGGTATTGGGTGGGGCTTGGGGGGCCTGGTGAGGGGGTGACAGGAGATGAGACGAGGGAGAGGGAGCTAGAATTGACATGTGAAGCAAGTTTGTTTCTAATTTAAATAAAAAAAAACTTTGAATGAGGATCAGGTAATTGAAACTGTAGTTGTGTGTGCATAATCGAAGTGGGGGATTAAGGAAATGCAGGGGCTGTATCGGGCATACCCAGTGCCCTCATTCTCCATGATTATTGAACCCAGATAGCATAGGTAGAGGCTGCTGGTGGTGGAGGCCTCTGTCGTCACACCCTTGGTTTATAACAAAAGACCATGGCCAGTGATGCTGGGTCAGCGTGGGTCAGTACACTTCAAGCAATTTCTTCTGAATCAACATCTTGAAGTCACAGGCTTGACTCATGAAGTCATACTGAAAGCCATGTGCAGGGAGCGCAGTTGTTAAGAAGGGGTGTGTGGACACAGTTGCTAAGCATTTCGTTTTCTTTTTAATTTCCTCAAAATAAGGTCCCGGGAATGAAAAAGAAAACATTCCAGCAGCCATGCATCCTGAGACCAGTCAAGGAGCAAAGGACCTTCCGCCTCCCGTTTATGGGGGGTGCCTGGTTGTTGGCACTTGGCAGCTGTCGGGAGATCACGGTGTAATGGGATCCAAGACTGGGGGCGTTGCTAGGGGACAGGTGCAAAAGCAGCACATGCTCATTGCATTGCAGGAGGCATAATCCTGTGTGGTGGCTCAGTGGTCTGCAAGACGAAACTACCAGGGAGATCTGGGAAATAAATCCCTCAGTCTATTCTCTGTCTGTTCTCTTCCTGATATTTTTCTCTTTTCTTCTCTTCCCATTTTCCCCTACTCCTCCTCCACATTCATCCATTCACCTCATTGTTCAGAAAATGACCCTGCTGTACTTACACGTATGTGGAGAATGTTATACATTCTCTTGATAGAAGGAGGAAGAATGTGGAAGGATGCTCACAATGGCTGTGTGTGTGTGTGTGTGTGTGTGTGTGTGTGTGTGCATGCGCATGCGTGCATGACTGTGTGTGCTCACACTTTTGTGTAGGATCAAAGAAAGGAGACATTCTAGTTGGAATGAGACAATGGAAGACTAAAGATGTTTTCAGTTTGGTCCAGAGCGAGGATAAAAGGCCCTTGTGGCTTGAGATGTAATGTGATATTAAAATCAACACAGAAAGAAAAACTCCTTAATGTCAGGCGGGTTTCTGCATCCTTTGCAAAGTGAAAGATTATACCCGGCACTTCTCAAGAATGCAGACAGAACAGCAGTTTTTATTCTTGACTGTGCTCTCGAGTCACAGGCTAACTGGTGAGACGGGAATTTTCCGTCTGGCATTTCTTTGTATGGTGTGTGTGCATGCGTGCGTGCGTGTGTGTGTGTATGGTGTGTGCGTGCGTGTGTATGTGCGTGTGTGTGTGTGCGTGCGTGTGTGTGTGTGTGTATGGTGTGTGTATGTGTGTATGTGTATGGTGTGTGTGTGTGGTGTGTGTGTGTGTATGGTGTGTGTGTGTATGTGTGTGTGGTGTGTGTGTATGTGTGTGTGTGGTGTGTGTATGTGTGTGTGTGTATGGTGTGTGTGGTGTGTGTGTGTGTATGTGTGTGTGGTGTGTGTATGTGTGTGTGTGGTGTGTGTGTATGTGTGTATGTGTATGGTGTGTGTGTGTGGTGTGTGTGTGTATGGTGTGTGTGTGTATGTGTGTGTGGTGTGTGTGTATGTGTGTGTGTGGTGTGTGTGTATGTGTGTATGTGTATGGTGTGTGTGTGTGGTGTGTGTGTGTATGGTGTGTGTGTGTATGTGTGTGTGTATGTGTGTGTGTGGTGTGTGTGTATGTGTGTATGTGTATGGTGTGTGTGTGTGGTGTGTGTGTGTGTATGGTGTGTGTGTGTATGTGTGTGTGTATGTGTGTGTGTGGTGTGTGTGTATGTGTGTATGTGTATGGTGTGTGTGTGTGGTGTGTGGTGTGTGTGTGTGTGTATGGTGTGTGTGTATGGTGTGTGTGTGTATGGTGTGTGTGTATGTGTGTGTGTGGTGTGTGTGTATGTGTGTGTGTGGTGTGTGTGTATGTGTGTATGTGTATGGTGTGTGTGTGTGGTGTGTGTGTGTGTATGGTGTGTGTGTGTATGTGTGTGTGTGGTGTGTGTGTATGTGTGTATGTGTATGGTGTGTGTGTGTGGTGTGTGGTGTGTGGTGTGTGTGTGTGTGTATGGTGTGTGTGTATGGTGTGTGTGTGTATGGTGTGTGTGTATGTGTGTGTGTGGTGTGTGTGTATGTGTGTGTGTGGTGTGTGGTGTGTGTGTGTGTGTGTTTTCCAAGGAGCTTGAGCTTTGCTTTTCTTATGTAACCCAGGCACTGGGTTGCTGCAGTACCCAGAGGCTCCAGGGAGTCCTGGTCATCCTAGTTGGACTTTGTGGGATATCCACGTGACACTGTACGCTGTTTTTGTCCTAAAGAGATGGTTTGTTGCAATGAGGACTGTTCATAAGCATGCCCAGCTTTCACCTTAGGTCATAGACTCTGTGTTTTTCATACCAACTGTCCTTTCCTCTGAAATGTGTCAAGTGGAAATAAGACCCGCTCATTATTCCTCAGAGCTCACCTAAGGGATCTAACCCCGAGGTTTGCACTCAGCAACCAGGGTCACATGTGGCCAAATGTAATCAAAAGGGCCAGTTGCACAAACATGCTCAGACTGGAGACTGCTGACAACCACCGCTGATAGACCCCTAAATTATTCAAGGTCATTTCCAGCTCCCTGCTTCTGAAGCTCCCTGACTACCTGGAGGAGCTGCCCCAGGAATGCACTGACAGCCAAGGATATGACCCTGTCTGCCACTCGGCTGCCTTTTCAAACAAACAAGTTCTTCCCGCTGTAGCTGCCCATGTCTTCTGTCCTATCCTTTGAACCTATCACCATACACAGTCGCTGCAGAGGAAGACACACCAGGGCCCCTCACTTCACTGGTGTGCACAGACTTGCTGGACAAAGTAGGAGAGCTGCCTTTGTCTTTGAACTTCAGGCACCAGAGCAAACTCCCTGTGAGATGCACCAGTGTCACGGTCATCCACACCATGGCTGTGCTTGCCAGAGGAGAGAGCACAGACTGACTGCCTCTACTCTCAGCCTCCCTTCCCTCTGAGCCAATGGTGAGAAACTGCTCGTCTGCCAGAGACGTGGTTGGAATAACGAGACTTTAGTGAAGAGTGTTTGGTGACAGCAGGAGAGCTGATTGATTGCCTGTCTCATAGCAGCTGGAGACCTAATGCCTAGGACAAGGCCATCACTTGGGGCCAGTATCTGAGGGACAGGAAAGACCCTGCAGACCTGGAGAAAGACAAGATGGAGAAAGACCAGGACAAGAATCCAAGGAAACACCTGGCAAACAGAGGCCACAGAAGGGAAAGCTGTGTGTGTGTGTGTGTGTGTGTGTGTCTGTCTGTCTGTCTGTCTGCCTGTCTC